GACCGCATCGGGTGCACCACAATTCTGGAGACCCTGCTTTCCGGACAGCAGCCTCAAAAGGGCGGCGGAATAGACTTGAAACAACCTATCGTACCCCCCCCCCCCCCGTTTCTCATTAGGATATTGCGGAGCAGGCTGTGCCGCATAATCTCCCGCTCTCCTGCCTCCATACGCTCTGAACGCCCGACATTCTTGCGTTAGCGGTAGGGGTGGTCAGCAGCCAGGTTCTGCGCGATAGCCACCTCCCACCGGTCGCCGTTGGCCAGGAGCTTTTCCTTGTCGTAAAGCAGTTCCTCGTGGGTCTCGGTGGCGAACTCGTAGTTAGGGCCCTCCACGATGGCGTCGACGGGGCACGCTTCCTGCTCTCGTCGATCGTACACGACGAATCATGAAAGGGCAAGCGTGGGATTTGGCGTGGTAGTATGGGGTGTAAGTGTCAATACAGTGACGTCACGTAAACGCGAAACAGGACAGAAGCATACCAGCGAGACTCCCGAGCCCCAGAATTTTCGCGTTCGCTCGAAAACAACCACCCAACGCAGAAAATCGAAGGTGCAAATCCACCAAGGCTGCCGACGCACGCGCAAGGCGAAATAGCCGCTGTAAAAAGTGCGATTTGCACGTGGAAGGGCAACGTCAGAGAACAAAGACAAAAAGAGTGGTCCAATCTGCGAGGCTAAAGCTTGCCTGGCAGAACCCGCAGTAGATGCACTTGGTCATGTCGATGTCGTAGCGCGTGGTCTTACGGCTACCGTCCTCGCGCTGCTCCGCCTCGATCGTGATCGCCTTCAAGGGATGGGTTTCGCAGCAAGCATGACGGGCACGGACGGCACCCGGATGAGACCATGATAAACATTAAGGCTTGCACACAAAAAAAAATGCGCCGCCTACTCCCTGCTCACAACCAACGCAGGAGCAAGCCAAAAAAGAACACCCCCCCCCCACCTGATGTTCCGTCCTCTCGAGTACGCGTGGTCAATGGTCTAACCGCTAAAAAGGTTTGCAAAACATGAGAGTACGCCCCCTACCTGAGCGGGGCAGATGGCTTCGCACAGCTTGCACGAAATGCAGCGCTCCTCCCCGCTGGGGTAGCGTCTCAGGGCGTGTTCCCCGCGGAAGCGAGGGCTTAGCGGGCCCTTCTCGAAGGGGTAGTTGATGGTCACCTTGGGCTTGAAGAACACCTGTTGGTTGCGAAGGAACATGTGTCGGTGTCGACGACACCATCGGGTTCTTAACGACAAGCCTGTTGGGAAAGAAGAGAGCATGCACTACTACAATACATGGGGTGCCCAACGGAGTGGTTGGCGGCCAGGCCTTGGGGTAGACGAACCCTTTGCAAATCTCGTCGAAAAAGCCGATTGTTGGGTCACCCCCATCGTGCTTCATTGGACACGTGCGGACGATGAGACTATACCCAGTGTGGGCAGAGGGCTTGCCGACGGAAGAAGAGGCGTCGGCAGCGCACGCTCCCGTCAGGGAGAGGTACATAGGTAATTCTAAGTTAGGTTACGAGTACTTGGTTCCGATGGGCATCGCCGGTACCGCCAATACATGCGCAACTCTGGTGTGACCCACACTATGCTCGTTGTTCAGTGAAAGAGCATCTGATTGGGCTATGTAGTAGTGTGCGTTGATGATGCTGTATTCTGCTGTTTCCCTTTGTATTACAGGCATGTCTCACACACAGCATATTGTAGCGAGAAAAGGCGGCGTATTTACGGTTTTCAATCAGCAATTCCGTCGGGGACACAACCACGGGCATCGACAAGACGAGAACGTTGTACCTCAAAGCCAAACACAAAATGAAACACATGCCACCTGAGCAAAACACTTCGCACGGTGCCCACAGTCAGTCTGCATCTGCGGGCGGGGCGAGGTCTGTAGGGTACAGCGTCTGATGTACGTGGGACTGGCGAGGTCTACAAGAGTGCATGATGATGATACTTTTCTTAACGATGACGGGAACACACGCACCTCGGCGCTGAGCCACAACGCGCGGAAGATCTCCGCCATGAACATGATGTTCGAGAGCCTGTCTATTGTCGTCAGCAGCCCCGTCTCTTTGAACTCGATGTTGTCCACCGGCAACTTCGCTTCCCGGAACTCAGACCTCTCCTTACTCTTCACCGAGGGGGGGTTGGGTGGCATGTTGCTCAACAACCGCCGGGGCAACACCGCGACGGCGTTGCTCGTGCGAGCGGCGCCGCTAGCGACCAGCACCGCCCGGTGGGCCAGGAGAGACCCTCTTCCCCGTACCGTAGCGAGCACCATGGCACAAGCTTGTGTGTGACAGCTGAGTTGCGCAGCCAGCGCACTCGCTGGAATCGCGGACAAGAGGGTTTCCAGTGGTGGGCTTCATCATCGGTAGGGAAGAGGGGACGTAATGCTCACCGCCCCATGGCTTGTTCCGCCGCGTTTTTAGGTTCAACTTTGTGCATCTGCAGTCCACCCTTCCGTGGTACAGGGAGATAGATGGTGGCGGAGGTTGGAGTGGCGAATAGCAAAGAGGGTGCTGTTCTTGAGAGGTCTCACACCTTCGTGATTGAGATCGATCGCCAGGGCGCCCCAGGTACAGTAGCGGAAAAAAGTGTTTTTTCTTGGAAAATATGTCCTCGGTGACGCTCGGCTCTCGGCGTGTCTCGACAATACGTAGACTACCTGTTCTGGAAGAGCGCGCACGGGCAATAGAAGCTGGAGCCCAAGCTAATGATTGTGCTTGTAGAGACGTGACAAAAAGTAGCCCTTCCGACTGCCCCAGCTAGCAGCAGCTCTACAATTGATTATCCTGTACACCAGGTCGGAGTGCAAAGTCGAATGGGTTGTGGACAGCAGTAAAATATGTAGACAATCTTTTGTTCCCTCCAGAAAGGATCCATGTGGGAGCGTAACCCGGCGCCTTTTTGTTGTGGATGCTCACAGAGCAAGAGCGGCTGAGATGGAGATGGCGCGATAGCCTCGGCGACAACACCGCTGGCGTCGCCCAGGACTTGCTTTCCTTCTTGCAAAAGCACTTCCGGGCACCCGCCGGGAGCACGCCGACGACAACAGCGCCGGCTGGTGAGAGAGCCAGTGGGGACCAGCAAGATGTCGACTTGTACTCGGTGGAAGTACACGACCCTGCGAGAGGAGGTGAGCCTGATGCTGTAACAACGCTTTGAATTGAGCGTGCTGGCTGAGGTAGGGCCCAGTGTTGAACGCTGTTTGAACGACTCTCTTTGATCGGCCTCGATTGCAACCAACGTCGGTTTTCCGTATCGGCGAAGGGTTGGGTCGAAAACCCCAACTGACCATTTCAAGTGATCGCGCGTGCCTTCCTTCTTCACCAACATCAGCTCACATGATAAAAAATATGTTTTTGTGTTACAACACCAGGGTGGACACCGCTGTCAGTTTCAACGTCATCCGAGACCATTCCCAGAAACTGCAGGGTTCGCGTAAACATCTTCGCAAAGCCACAAGCGACAACAACTCGCTGCCGACAAACAACAACTGAAGACCCTTCTTCTTCCAGTGACGGGAACAGCTGCAAGAACCTATCGGCTTCGCTCCCTTCCGGGCCAGCGAGAAGAAATGCAACCTTTGATGGCACCGCTGTACCAGGGGCGGCCACCACAGTTGACGGAACCCCGCTGCCGGAAGATGAGTCAAGCCTCGACCCCGTTGCACCTGGGGAAATGTTGGCACTTCCATGGAGGCGATTTGATAAAGACTTGGGGGGCGAGGGTGAAGAGGGATTGAAGATCTGCGGGAACCGAGTGGCGATCAGGGACGTATCCAACTCGAGCGAGGGCACCGGGCTGTTCACTTGGGTGAGCAGGGGGGGCTATTGTTATCGAGGCCGTTATTGTTACTAGGACAAGACTTTTCTCTAGGTGACGAAGTAGCTTGCGACTGGAGAAATGTACCCAAAGGGGCAGCAGAAGTAGCAGAAATTTCGTGGTAGTTTCGATCATAGTTTGGTTTGGAGGCAACTCCAACGGTTCAAACCGGACATTGTGATATCCTTGCCACCAAGCACGTTTACTATCAACGGCAAAGGTTTCAAGTTTTCTCTGCTCATGTTAGACACCGCGTTTCCCCGTGAAGGAAAAAGCGATGTGTAAAGCCCGAATGAATAAACCCCCCACCCATGCGTGGTGTCCTCTGTATGCCTATCGTCTCATGTCAGGATGGCGCGGTGCTGCTAGCCAAGTACCTCGAACACCGAGCGGTGGCCATGCGTCGCGACTTCTGCGAACAACAGCCCTGCCATTCGACCCAGCCGTCTTACCGTCATCCTGAGGGTGCCGGACACGGAAGCAGCGTCACTGTCGCAGCCGGCGATTCTGCCGACGTCAACATCAACAACAATAGCAGCAGCGGCTGCAGGAGCAGCAACGGCAACATCAGCAGCAGCAGCTGCAGCAGCAGCAAGAGTGTGAGGGCGGCACCTATTCGCGTCTTAGAGCTCGGCTGTGGCACCGGTCTTGCGGGCCTTGCCGCGGCGTTTGCGTTTGGGAGACGGCACAGCGGTACAAGCGGAGACGACAACAGCGAAGTCAACCACCCCCCCCCCCCTTCCCCTTGTCGCCGGCGGAACCCTTTGGAAGGGGAAAACGACGAGGGCGTTGCCCAATGTGCGTCGCCCCCGGCACAAGTGGCTGTTGTCCTGACGGACCTCGAGTACGCCCTGACCAATGCGCGTGCGAACACCTTCCTGAACTCGTCGTCGCTTGAGGCCGTCGGCGCGGAGGTCAGCTCGATAGAACTCGACTGGTGTCGTCCGCTGCCAAGGGAGCTGAGCGGTGAGGCTTGAATCCGTGTTGTTTTTTGTTGGTCCCGGCGGTACGTAGATGGAGAGTGACCACCGGTTCTTGACCATCGTTGAACCCTTTGAGAGCAGGCCAATGCCGTTCCAGAAATGAGGCCCAACGTAGCTGTGGAGACGCTGCACACGCGGTGCGGGACAGCGGTTAACCCTCTTAGTATATCGCTCGAACAACAACAACCACCGCCACCACATGAAAACCACATCAAAGATTTTTTGGACGACTTTTTTGCCATCGTTAAGCGCGTGAGGTAGTGAAACAACATTGAAACGTGATGGATGGAGCCATCTCCGCGGCATTGCCACCGTTTGCAAAAAATCGTCACCCCTCCTCTTCCACCTACCAAAAAGACAAGGAGGCGTTCGACCTCATCCTGGCGGCCGACGTGGTCTGGCTTGACGACCTCGTCACCCCTCTCGTTCGCACCCTCGAGCGCCTTACGGCGGGGTGGCCTGGGGGTGGCGTCGACGCATGGTCGGCGCCGCTTCCACCGGCCCCGGCAAACGGAACCCAAGAAGAGCGGCGGAATGAGACTGGTTTGGCGGCCAGTTTCGGGAGCGGTGCCTCTCCTCAGGAGTGCGAACTCGGCGGTTGTGCTGCGAGGTCGGGCGGGCGGCCAAGACCACCGGCCGGACGGCGAGTGTTGTTGGCGTACCAGTGGAGGAGCGAGAGGACGGGGAGGGCGCTGCTGGAGGAGCTAGGTGCATGTTTCTGTGTCCGGGAGATACCAGCGGAGGTCAGATTGTGCCGTGTGTTTTGT